TCCAGCTAAGGAATTAATTTTTTTAACAGTATAATTGGCTTATTGACTAAGTTGCTATAATAGGTAGTTAAGCCTGGATCTTTACAAAGGGTTTAAGAAGGGAAATTTCTTTAAAGGTGATTTATTTATTTTTTCTTCCATGGTGGGTGTGAAAGGAAAGCTTTAAAGGACCAAATGGTACCTTATTATTCACATTTTTATGTATGTCGTGACACAATTATGGGGATAATAATTTCAATACCAATTTCCTGGATGATCTTACTTCATTAACTCGGGGGGGGGGGGGGTTAGCCACTTGCTTAACAGTTTTCGATCGTTAACTTTCATCATTACTTACTGCTGTAATCCTGAACAGAACACTCCTTACATTACACTAAAGCACAGCATGCTCTTTTATATATATTTTCTCACTTAATAGATTTGCGTGTTCCTCCATTCAAGTTTTGTTGAAAGTTTCTTAGTGTTTTTATTCTTTCACTGAATATCGGTTACTGTGAATTCTGTAGTTTTGTACTAATGTGTTAAGTGTATTTATAGTGAAGTTCTGTGGTGTTGTACTACTTTGTTGAAAGTGTGTTTATAGTGAAGTTCTGTGGTGTTGTACTACTTTGTTGAAAGTGTTTTTGTAGTGAAGTTTTGTGGTGTTGTACTTCTTTGTTGAAAGTGTATTTATAGTGAAGTTCTGTGATGTTGTACTTCTTTGTTGAATGTGTGTTTATAGTGAAGTTTTGTGCTGTTGTACTACTTTGTTGAATGTGTGTTTATAGTGAAGTTTTGTGCTGTTGTACTACTTTGTTGAAGGTGTTTTTATAGTGAAGTTTTGTGCTGTTGTACTACTTTGTTGAAGGTGTTTTTATAGTGAAGTTTTGTGCTGTTGTACTACTTTGTTGAAGGTGTTTTTATAGTGAAGTTTTGTGCTGTTGTACTACTTTGTTGAAGGTGTTTTTATAGTGAAGTTTTGTGCTGTTGTACTACTTTGTTGAAGGTGTTTTTATAGTGAAGTTTTGTGGTGTTGTACTACTTTGTTGAAAGTGTGTTTATAGTGAAGTTCTGTGATGTTGTACTACTGTGTTGAAAGTGTGTTTATAGTGGGTTATGTCCAAAGAAAATGAAACAATTATTTAATGAATATATTGTATTGGTTTTGTTATTCTAGAAAAATGTTGCTTCTAGCTTTTTCCATCTCAATATTTTACAGTTCCAAGTGAGGATGATGATGATGATGAATCAGAAGATGATCAAGTTGAAAATCCAGAAAATGTAACCGGTAGGTTAACATAAATTTTTACTATTTAGGGATGAATTTTCATTTGATGAACCTTAATCTAAAAAAATCAGTTCTTTTTTTTTCATAAATTTAATATCGCACAATGTTTGTCTAGCTTAGGAGATTTATGTCAGTCCCATGGTCTTCTCCAATTTATGAAAAGTTTCAGAGTTTGGGACTGGGACAAAGAAATAGCTGCTAAATATTTAAAACATAAGTATAATGTAAGATAAAGTGTAGTAAACTGTGAATCTGATCCCCACTGGTATCGAAGTTGCCCAACACTTTTAACTCTTTCAGCACGGGCTCGATCCCTGGGACCAACCTTGTAACCAATTTTTGCTTGTTATAGTTTCCATGCAATAACTTTTAAATTATTAAGCAAATATTAATGAAACTTGGCAGATTATCATTAAACAATGCTTTCATATGCAAAAATATCAAATTTTTCTTATATTAAGTCTTAAGGTTTATAAAGCAATGTTTTTCTCATGCCTTTTTTTGTCCATCGTATGTTGCCTATCTAACATGCAAAGAAAATTTCATTTTAAGATAATAAAAAAAAATACTTTTATGCATCAGAAGATTTTCAAATTTTACATGCGAAATCTTTATAATGTCCAGATAGTTATCAAACTTTTCTTAAGAAAAAACTATTTTATCTGTTATTTTCAGTAATTAATCTCTATGCGGGTTCGGTAGATTTGACCGATCTTGTAACTAACATAAAAAAAAAATTAGAAAATAAATATAAATTATGCCTCTTTCATTCCAGAATGATGACAAATTATAGCACAAACGTAACTGTTTAGACTAAATAGCTTGAATCTCATTTATATATATTTATTATTTTTATTATATTAACCTTTCAACCTTGCCTGGCAAACAATACAGAATTTACAATGACTTGGCACGTGTGCACTCATGTTACTGTATCCAATAATATAAAGCTGACCTTTGGTCTTTACAAAGTAACTTGTCTTGGCTGTTTTAGTAGAGTAGTATTTTGTAAAATACAGTCACATTTCAATTATTATACATTATATATGTATATAGATTATTGCTATTTAGAAATAAGTTCTTAAACTTATTTCTTTATTTTTCTTAAAACAGAACAATAAATAAAGCAGTAAAGCAAACAACTATCTCCTAGTCATGGCCTTTCTACTCAGTTGCTGCTTGACGTAGGTTGGCTAAGCCTTTTAAAATTTCACACATGGAGGATATGAAATGAAATAATTTTCTTTGGGTTTTATATATACAGTTGAATAACAAAAAAATCATAAATTACTATATCGTTACCACAGAATTTCACTATAATTTATCAAGCTTAGTAACTATACTGTATTTCAGTCTAAAAAAATATGAAATTTCAAACAGACTAAAGACACAACTTACCTCCTTGAAATATTGGTTCAAAAAAAAAGAGATGGTGTACTAAGAATTTAAAATGGTATGAAAGCCACTAGATGTACATTCTGAGCTTTCGATTGGTTATTCATGTCATATATAGAAGTGAATATAAGGGAGCATTTCCAAAATTTGAGAGGTGGGTGGTGTGCCACTGTTTGATTTATTACATGAGCAATATCTTAGCAAATAGGAAAGAAAGGGCATACACACATTTTCCTACTACAATCTAAATCACCAGTTTCAACAATGAGTTAGTAGTAAAATAGGTTGATTAATTTATTTTATAAATGTGATATATTCTACTCGTTAGCAGTGCAATAAACATGATTTTGTTTAATTTGTTTGTTTTTTATTCTAATAATGGATGTTTTACAAGTTTATACATATTAATAAAACTTAGTGTTTTTTGTAATTGGTGTTTTATTTCCAAATTTGTGTTAGACTTCTCAAAAAAAGCTGTGGTTAAAAATTAATTTTTTATTAAAAATCGACAAACAGTAAAGATCGGCATAGATATATTTATGTGTGTTTTAAAGACATTCTTGTATAACAAACTGTTTACAATTCCACGTCATAAATCAAGACAGCGGAATCTGTAGAGATTAGAATACATTGAATCATTAGTAGGGTATCGCCTATATTAAAAATATAATCAGTTGTAAACTATAGCATTTCAATCGTAAATCTACGTATTAAACTAAATGCTAAATAATTGTCTTAAATGTAATATTAACTCAAAATATAATTTAAATGCTACAAGTATGAGGTAATGGAATCAACTATAAAGAAAAATTAGATACGTCTTTACCTACAAATCTTTACTATTAACATTTACATGGCTTAATGATACACCAAATGTGAATATGCATATTAGTGTTCATATACTTGTAATAGTGTATATCCAACATCATAGACTAATGGAAATTAAAGATACAGCTAAAAAAATCATAAAGTACATTAGCTGTTTGTCCAGAGGAACATAAATGTTCTGTCACTGATTCTGTAGTTTAGTGTGTGATAATAGTATAAGTAAATTTCTCGTTTTGTGGAAGGATTAAAGAAATAAACTAAAGCATAATTCAAGTACAGTGTGGCCTTATAGTTGATGAACAAGTTTTTTGGTTGTTTTTCATGGTAGATATAACATCTAACTATGTATGGTTTATCAACAAATGATAACTACAGTTTCTTCATTTAATATTTGATAGTTTGTACAGAAAATGGATGTTTTCAGATACTTTTCTCTAAGATGCAATTTCGTTATTTCTAACATGGGTGTAATTTTAAAGACATCAGGCAAATTTTATAATTTTGGCTAGTGTGCTACCTTTATTTCTAAAAATGTATGTCGGTTACTGGTATATGAATGTCTTATGAATATTGAATGGATAAAATCTAAGTTTTTTTTGTTTTTTTTTGGTAAATGGTTGTTTTTTCACTGTTTTGCAAATGTTTGGTTGCTATGATTATGCTAAAAGCTTGCATTAACAAGTAGTTGTGTGTGTCTTAGTTTTGTGTGGGCTTGTGCACATAGAAAAAAAGCTTTTTGTATCTATTGCATATGTCCTTGTCTTTCTGCTGCTTTGCTTGTGTAGGTGAAGAAAGGGAGAAGATCATTCATGAGGTTGATGCTGCAATTGATGAGAATTCACGAGATTTGGATGATAAGTTTAAACACTATCAAAAGGTTATCCAGTCAAGTAATAATAAACAAAGTGATAATTTAGATGATTTTAATAAAGCAGGAAGAAGGACTGAAAGTGTAATCAAAGAAAACCTTGCCTTTAAAAAGTTGGGATTTGGTGATAATGTGGCTTTAAGTACAATTTTAACCTCAAAAGTTCAAAAAGGTGAGAAAGAACAAGGTGAGGAAAACGTTACCATTGTCCATGAACCAGAAAGCATGGAAATAGAGAGTGAGAGTAAGAAAAAAGAACAGAACTTGCTTGGAAATTTAGAAATTCTAAAAGATAACATTAAACAAAAGGATAAATTGGTAACCACCAAAGAATCTGAAAAAATGAAAGATGAAAATGAAGCTAGGGACACTGAAGCTAAGGATAAAGATAAGGTAGTAGTTGCATCTACCGAGAAAAATGAACAGAAGGAAGCTAAAGGTCAAGATGCATCTATAGAAGAACATGAACAGAAGGAAACAGACAATGAAACAAAAGGCCAAGAGGCATCTATCGAGGAACACAAACAGAAGGAAACTAAAGGCCAAGAGGCATCTATCGAAGAACACAAACAGAAGGAAACAGACAATGAAACAAAAGGCCAAGAGGCATCTATCGAGGAACACAAACAGAAGGAAACTAAAGACCAAGCGGCATCTATCGAGGAACACAAACAGAAGGAAGCTAAAGACCAAGCGGCATCTATCGAAGAACACAAACAGAAGGAAGCTAAAGACCAAGCGGCATCTATCGAAGAACACAAACAGAAGGAAGCTAAAGACCAAGCGGCATCTATCGAGAACACAAACAGAAGGAAGCTAAAGACCAAGCGGCATCTATCGAGGAACACAAACAGAAGGAAGCTAAAGACCAAGCGGCATCTATCGAGGAACACAAACAGAAGGAAGCTAAAGACCAAGCGGCATCTAT